CTCTTTCTGTCCCTCAGGAAAAGCAGACAGTTTGCTGCTTCACCTCCTCTGCTGCCACATGCTGGGAAGGAGCATCCACCTGGCTTCCTCTCTGCAGAATGGGTGTTGTGGGTAGCACATCAGCTCTTCCCAAGATCACAGGATGCCATTCTCAACTGTGCGTGGAGATGTGTGAAAGCACTCTGCCAGCAACAAAGCGGCGTGCTCCTCCTTTCTGTACAATAGCTCTGTTGAACCAGACGTTCTGGGACCTGAGAAGCCTGATTCACCTAATTGAAGGTGCACGCAGCAGACGTTTTCCTATGGTACGGAAAAATTAATTATATCACATGACAGATTTCAGTCCTGGTGTTCAAGAGCTCATTAACAAAACTACTATAAGTGGTGCTAATAGAAACAAATGCCTTTAACATCACGGGGTTCCCAGATGACTCTTGCTACAGAGATGGATGACAAATCACTGTCAGTCATCCTTAAATTCCATATTGACTACACTGAAGCAATTACCTGTTTATTTTTAGAACATGTTCCATTTTAAACACAAGTGATTCACTCCAAGAGATGTTTTGTGCTGTATCGCTACTTCATGGGTTAACAGCTCTCAAATTTAAATGGCTTTACATTCTGGACAAACACTGCTTTTTTTTTTTTTTTTTTTCCTTTGCCTCTAGACATCGGATGGGAATTTTAATTCAGGCTTAAAACCAAACAAATGCTAGTCTTCAGCAGGCATCTGCAGAGAAATATAAAAATATCTGGAAAGTGTGAAAACGAGCGCCTGTTTTGCTAAACGCATGAAATGAAGCCTCCGCTGAGTGCTCAGCAGCAGCATTCTGATTGCTGCACACACGCTCTCTTCCAAGTCCTCCTGCTCTGCAGCAGGGGAAGGCTGCCTTCCCGCATCCTCAGAGAACTTCGTGATGTGATGAGCTCAACGGTCCCCTAGGGAGCCCAGAACTGATGGTTTCCTTTGACATTTCAAACACCAGCATGAGGGCTTCCCTCATCTTTTAATGCCTAAAGGAACAACCCATTTTATTGCTTCCCCCAGCCAACTCAAGGTTTATCTGCATTGTAGGCAATGGTCCAGACAGAAGGAAGAGGAGCTGGAAAGAAGCCCAAGCTGCCGTTGTCCTGTAAAATGAGGGTGGGGTGGAGATTATGGGAAGGAGAGTACTGGGAAGCAAAGGTTTCTCCTGTTGGTCCCTCTGGAGAGAGAGTACAAGCAGGAGCTGCCCCAGGCACTGCAGTGGAGAACCAGGGAACCAGGCTCAGCTACTGCTTGGCTTAACCCAGCCCCTGCCTCCTTCTGAAGGGAGCAAGCTTCTGGGCCACAGACCTTTCTTGCCCCCAGCAGTTTGACACCCGTGACAACGTGACAACGGCATACCTATTCTGCCTGCAGCCTGGACCAGTCTTACCAGTCTGTATGCTGAGGAAGCCACAAACATCCCAGATGAGAAGGGGACTCCGCCTTGCCCAAAGGAACAGCCCAAACACCACCAGAGAGGCAGCCCTGACCTAAACTTCCCACTTCAGAGCTGACACTGGAGTATCCTGCCACAGCATTGCTGATCAAAAAAAAATCTAGGACTGACTCAAAGTCCATTTCACAGCTACAAGTCCATTACACAGCTGCCTGGCCACCATTCATTAACTGTAATGAAAATGATCCCGGCTTCCTTGCATCAAAGAATCTTGCTATTTCTTCATTCATTCCAAACACTTTGCTGAACTCAAAATCCACCCTGAAAACATCAAATGGGGTAGCTGGCATCTCTGCCTGCCCTGCTCCTGGCTGTGCTTTTACTTTTCCCTATGCTGCATGCCCCCCCACCTTCATGAGCATACATGGGAAACCAAAACATTTACTTACATCTGAGGGCAAATGCCCAAGTACGTAAAATTTGGCCTTATACTTTATTAGAATTAATATTCACCAAATCTGAGACCAGAAGAAATTTATTTCTAAGGAATTAAACCAACTCCCTGCAGTGCTTGCCAATCAGCCATTGCAGAATTACAACAGCACATGAAACCTCACAAGAGAAACAGGTGGGAAAAAAAAGTCTCAACCAGAAGTAAAACTGACTCATCTCTTTATTGCCAACACCAAGAAAGATGCTGAGCGTAAACAAACAGTAGACATCCTGAAAAAAATAGGGAGTCACAATTTCTTTTAATGTAATGTGAATAGGCAGATAGTCAAGCTGGAGAGGACAGGACCATCCTTCAGCCACTCTGGACCTAAAGGAAGTGGCTAGCACCAGGGTGAAGTTTCCAGGAGTGGCAAGGCCACCAAGGACCTGGAAGCAGGGAGAAAGCTGACAACTCCCCACTCGTGGGGAGCTCCTCACTACACAGGCTGAAGAGCTGCAGCTGCGGGAGTGTGACCAATTCAGGGATGGCACATGCACATTTAAATCTCAGACTCTGTTGCTCTGGGTGGCCTTCACAAGGCACTTTGACCTGAGCTAGCTAGCATCCCATCTGAGAGAGAACCAGAGGACTTGTATAAGCGTCAAGCTCTATGCCCTGGCTGCTGGGTTCTACACAGACTACAAGCTCTGCACGCTGACATCAGTCCTGTGAATATCCCTAAGTGTGGGGAAACTAAATAGGTTAAGACTTGGGATCAGGGAGCCTTGGGAGGAACATAAGGAAAATCACTGTGAAAACAAGTTAGATTCCCTGGCAGAATTCATGATGACCGACTAACATACTTTGAAGTAACTATTTTGTTACTTACTAAAAGCCCTTTGTTTGAGCTTCAACTAGCAGGTGGGATTAATGAAGAAGTTGTACTATTAGAATTATTATTTTTTTTTAAGCAGCTTTTACCAGAGTTGAAACCAAGGAGGCAACCTTAATGCCTGTAACCCCACCACTGAGATTTCCAATGATTTCAAAGAATGGATAGCATCACCTCTGTTAGAACAGCTCCTGGCCTGACAGTATTCAACACCAAGACTCTCCCACCTTGAATCTCTCCCCCAGTATCAGAACCACACCTTTCCAAGTATCTCAGAAACAAACTAACAAGCTAAATCTTGCTTCTTGCTTATTGAAGTAATTGTTTGTATGAGGGCTATTCACAAAAGGAGGCAAGGAGAAGCATTTAGTGCTGCCATGAGTGAATACTGCTCAACTTCAGAGGAAGCACGTGCAGAACTCCGTGAAGCTTCTCTGGGATCATCTTGTGACTGCAAAGAATGCTAGATTGTGCGCCACCTGTATGAAATACAAACCGCAGAGTGATACATTGCTTTGTTTACTAACAGCCCTGGGCCAATTATTTATTGGAACATGGTAAGTACCACGTTGTTTATCGGAATGCATTTAAAAAACAGAGCATACAGATTTTGAATTCGTTATTTAGGATGTTCTGAATCTGAGTGGATGGTTTTGCTGTCGAATTACTGCCGCTTTCAGGTATATATAGCTCCTGATAGTCACCAAGTGTGTTTTGTGCTTTGGCCCACTCCAGTTTCATGCAAGCACCTTTACGAGAAAGAGCTGACTGATACCACAGAGGCTGGGAGGCCAATGCTCAGGCCACACTAAACCAGCTGTGCACCACTGCACGTACGACACAAGCAATACAACATGCCACAACCACCGAGTCACGTGCCTTACTCCTCCTCACAAATGCCGGCCATTGGAGCGACCACCGTTCTGAGCTGACTGCCACTCACCCAATGAGAAAACTGAACGTGCATTTCTTCCACAGGGACAGGTACTCTCTTTCCCCCCCCCCAACAGAGAGCGCCTGTATTGCGGGAGGAGTGCTGTGCTGGCAGAGCGAATGCTGCTTTTTACATCTACTCCTGGTTCCAGTGTGAAAATCAGCATCGCACCTGTGCTGTCCAAATGGGTCTACATTACAGAGAGGGGAGCGGGGAGAGCAGTCAGGATACACACTGTACTCCACTTCTTCATAACACACACGTACTACATGGAGAAACGATAATCCCTTCTTAGTAGAAAATCCAAATTTCCAAAACGAATCCCCAGGCTAAAATGAATTGTTGCAATAACCACAATCCTAGCGTGAGTGCTAATCAGAGAGACGCAGCTGACCACCTGCTATGTGTCATACATAAGGCCAAGCAGCTCTGTGTCCCGATGGTGGGCTGCCCCCATGGGCTGGGTGCCTTGCCATGCCCTGATGGCTGGGTGCCCCCGGAATGAGATGGCAGCGCTGCTGGGCGTGCGGCCGCTGGACTCTTTCACTACGCACTTCTGCTGAGTGCAGCATTAAGGGGGAAAAAAAAAAAAAGCACTACTGCAGCTCTGAACAGCAGGATGCAAAAATCCAAACCCTGGCCAAGTGATTTCTTCTTCAAGTGTAAAAAGCACACAGCAAACAAAGCAGGAGGCAACACATTGTACATGCCTGTTTTGGTGCAAATCCATTTTCCGTGAAAATGAAAAACGAGAAAAGCATCATTTGACAATGCTGGATGCTAGGGTACTTAACATACCTACAGGAATTTTATTTAATTGCTGATGGAAAAGGCAGTTACATAAGAAGGTAATAACCAAAACATGAAATCATGAGGTTAGACTACAGCAAAACGGGAGGAGGCAAAAGAAGGCAGGTTGTGCTTTAAATTTTGCTGCATTGTCAGGGAGCCAAAAAAAAAAACAACAAAACCCACAGATTCGGGGGCTTCTCCTGAAGGGCAGAACCACGACCACGGCAATCCCGCACGGGACTCCCCGCCGCCGGCACGCAGCCACATCGCACCGTGCAGCCGTGCGGCTCCCCGCTCAGGGCCCTGCGGGCAGGCCGGAGCAGCCAGATGCTCCACAGAGAACAAAACCACGCGTACACACGGGCGCCCGCCGCTCGCAGCCGGCTGCCGGCTCCCCGCAGCACGGCCGGTCTCTCGGCACAAAGGTGCCCGGCAGGGAGCCCCCGGCAGGCCGCCGCCGTCCCTCCATCCCCCCGGGAAGGGCAGGGCAGGGCCGGGCCGGGCGACACCGGCCTCCCTTACCTGGACAATGCCGGCCTGGGCACAGCTCATGCTCCCCCGGCAGCGCGGCTGGCAGGGCTCACATCCCACACGTGCTCCGGGCAGCGCCGCCCGTGCGTCAGCCCCCGCCGAAGCTCACCATGGTCCGGCAGCACCGGCCGCAACGCCCGCAACGCCGCCGCGCTCCCCCCTCCTCCTCTTCCTCCTTCTCCTCCTCCTCCTCCTCCCCACCAGCCTCCTCCCACCCCGCCGCCCGTCGCCGAGTACCGGGCGCTCGGAGCCACCCACACGCCGCGGCGGGCGCCCGGCAGCCCTGCCCGCCCCTCAGCGCGACGCCCGGCCCGGCCCCCGCCTCCGCCCCGGGGCCGCCTGGGGACGGTCGCCGGCGGCCCCTGGGGGTGGCGGCCTCCTCCGGGCCGAAGCGGGGACCCTGCGCACCTGGGAGCGCCGCGCTCGTCCCCGCTGCGGGCGGATCTGCGGCGCCCTCAGCTCCGCTGGGCCGGTCGCGCCCGCACCTCGCGCATCCCCGGGTGGGAACCTCGCCCGACGCCGAGGGACGTAACGATGCGCGCCAGCACCGGGGCAGGAGAAATCGGCTCTCTTCCCCTCCTCGCTCCCTCCCGCAGGCCTGCAGCCCTCCTGCCGATGCCCCGCCGGTAGTACGGACTCTGGGGTGGTGGCTGATGTCTTCCCCTTTGACATCTACCCCGCAGCTGAAACTCCGCAGGGAGCTGACACCACCAACCCAAGCCCCTGAAGGATCCCCAGCCTCCCCTCCCCTTGCTTTCTCTCCTGGAAAGCGTTTTATAAATCGCACCCCCCTGGACAAAGAAAGCCGCAGGCCTACAGCTGGGAAGAGAGGGAGTTTCAAAACACAGCTGCTACACGCGCGTTTCTCCCACGGGTCTCGCGTTTGCGCTAGCATCGATCCCTGTGCAGCCGGCTCACCGAAAATAGAGCAGGAGCGCTGCCGGGGGCTGCGGCGAGCAGCAGTTTGCACCGCGCTGTGCTTGCCGCCCGTGCCCAGCTGGCGGAGAGGCTGAACACCAGCTCTGGAAGACAGCAAATGCAGAACAGTGAAGTTCTGCTTAGTCCCTCGCCGGATTTTTGCAGATGCCTTTAGGCAGAAACGACATTTTGCAACCATACCGTTGGAGCGGATTTTCCCCCTTTTCTATGCTATTTAATGTGTCATTTTTTTGAGACTGTTCGAGCTCCCTAGCACAGGCAGTGAAGAAAAATAAACGCCAATTTCCAGTAACATCATGTAATTGAAGCTAAGTTTGCTACTAGAGGCATCTTTGCACCCCTTACTCACAGAAATTTCTTTGGAAATACGGATTTACTGTGCTTGGCACTAACCCAAGAAATATTTTACCTCTAATTTTCTAATCAATCAACACACTTTGAGACAATTAAAATACTTGCAGGTTTATTGTGGCCTCTTATTTCCACTTGATCACTTCATCTTCCTTTTTTTTTTTAAAAAAAAAATCAGATTGAATTGGGAAGGAGAACGGGTGTCTTATTACACTGATGAATGAAACCCATCTCTGATCACAACTACTAGCACCAGACCAGCGAGCTGCCTCACTGGTGAGTCAGAGAAAAGTCCATTACAAAGCCACCATCAGCTCCTCAAGGCAGACTAAGAGACAAACTGGGCTGCTTGGATAAATCACACTATTTCAGCACACATCTGTGCCAACATGTTTCTGCAGATGTTTGAGAAGCTTGGTGTGTTCAGACAAGCACAGTGCCTCTGCATCTAGTGAAGCTGCCCACTGCTGTGGATTGCTATCTGCAGGAGGCCTCGATCCAGACCTGACACTGAAACTGCTCATGGTGGGCAGTGCTTTTGCTCTGGCAACTTGAAAGTCTACAGAAGAAGGAACAGAAGAAAAACTTCCTTAGGAACCCCTTTAAGAAGGTTGGGCACATGCTTTTCTCTTGACGAGCTACCACCTCTGCTCTCCTTCTAGACTGAAAATAACATCCCAAATCTCCTACAGAAGCAGCAATTTTAGATTGCCCTTTGTTGGAGTCTTGAGTAAAACAGGAGAGGTTAAAATCAAGATCAGGAGGCAAACTGTGTATTCTGTACCCACCTCCTATAGGTAGGTGGGCATTCAAATTATGAACAGAAGATAAATGTGGTTCTGTGGCAAATGATTCAGAAAATAAACCTAGATTTAAAAAGGACCTTTTCTCTCTTGTTTTGTGCTAAAGAAGGAAGTGGTACACACTGGAATTAAAGTGGCTTCCATCGTAACTTTACATTTTGCAGAAAAGGAGAAGATGGCATAATGCGCATGGAGCTCTAAAATTGAACGAAACTTTGGCATTGAGGATATTTATCTGTATTACAAACATTCTGAACTTTACATGCCTACCTGTTATACACTCCCTAAGCTCCCACAGACCAAATCTAATAGCAGGTTTTGCTGTCCCACAAGCAGTTTCTTGTATCTTTTCAGCCATAAGCTAAGGCGTAATTGCAGACAATGTAAGGTGAAGATAATCTGGGCAGCCAATGCGACTGAGTCATATGCCTGTGTTTTGCTGGGAAGCAGCAGAATGTTGGCAGCTAGAGTCGTCCTGCAGAAGCATGAAATAAGGTCAAGAAAGAAATTCAGTTTGGAACTGGTGGGGCAAGAGAAAGCAAGATGAAACAAATATTTCTGAGGGGCCTATCTATAGGTCCTGAATAAATCAGGATAAATCTCATTGCACTTCCAGAATCTATCATTCCCGTGGCTCATTTATGCCTGGTATCTATCAGAGCAAGTGCTTAGTATGGTCTTGTATTTGAGCGGAGAGTTTGCAGTGATTCTCGAGTGGTTTGATCAAAGAAGTGCTCAACTGAGAAATTTTAGCTATTCCTACCAAATATCACGTACACCTACATCTGGAAAAACAGACAAATACACAGTTGTCTTGCTACAATCAAAAAGCTAGTGTCCTCATTAAATTTTATTGGACAAAATTAGCCACTTATTAGCAAAGCAACTGCCACTGAGCTGATATAATATGGCATTTCTAGCTGCTGGACTTATTTATGACGAGACAACATCCTTGTATCTGGCTCGCATGACTTCTCATTATGAATTACTTGTTTTGTTGAGACTCAGAACTCCATTATTGACTTCAGTACACACAGACTGTCTTTAGAAAGGTACTTAGCTGATGCAACCCAATATCTTTTATTGTATTTTGCCTTACATAGATGGGATTGCTCATATCTCAGCTGAATGCTGTGCTTATGCATGGCAGTAGTTACTTGTCTGTGATGTAGGTACTAGGACTTCAGGCTCTGTCAAGAGAGGGCTTTCTTTAAACAGCTGCTGGGCACAAGTTGCCATATTCTTCCTATTGACAGCACACTTGGGAAAGGCCATGACAGACTGTCTTCTAAAAGACAATCAGGGACAAACCAGGAGCGATCCCTGCTCCAGCAGGACAGCAGTCCTTGTACCTACCCACTGCCCTTCTTACCAGGAAGGGTGGAATGTTGTGCAGCATCCTGATCTCCATCCCTGTTTCACATCCCTGGGTGCACAGATGAATTTTTTTGCATGGATACTGAACTACTAGAGCATGGGTATGTATTCAAATGATGAGTGAGTTCCTTTTGAAAGAGGATGCTTGTGGTTTTGCTCTGCATCTGATTCCCGATCTTGTGATTCTGTCCATTCCTACATGCCAGCCCTGGTGTTCACCTGGTCCTTTACTAATTTAGTTTAACTCATTAATCTAGAACAGAGTTATCCTGTTTTTCTGGGTGAATTTTCTAAGCTGAACTGGTGTCAGACCAACACCTCCCACCGATACACTAAAAAGAGAGGTGAAATAATTTGGCCAGCAAGAAGGAAAAAAGTGAGATTACCCCTTTTCAGGGCAATTAACCCCACTAGATCAGTCCAGCCTTCTCATGATCTCTCCCAGACTGAACAGGATTAAGCTCAAGACAAGCAGGGATATTCCTCCTATGTGGTGAAAGCCACAATTGTTGATTCCCAGTAGGGTGGTAAAGATATTTCTACCGTGTGCATCTAGACCTTGGAAAATTTTTGAAGATGCCAAATACTTGATTGTTTTGGCCTCTCTCTCACCAAAGGTTCCCAGGCAAATTGTTAGTAATTTACTTTATTCTCAACACCGGCCCACCACTGAGTAGCAGGCCTGTTCTGATTATATTGGAGAGAATAGAGGAGTTCATCGTCCATAGTCACTTGGCTGATAAACAATTCCACAGTAACAGAGGACTGAATTAACAGATGAAGACAGATGGGTTTATGGAATGGGGAGGGACTGAGAGAGAGGTTATACTGAGAGAGCAGAAGGATTGGAAAAAGATCAACCAAAAATGGGCCAGCATGGTAGGCCATATGTCTCTTCTAAACATTTTTTCTGCTCTTGTTGTTTGATTGTCACAAAGCTTCATAACTGTCTATTGTTTTGTTTGAGATTTCAGTGGTTTAGGGTTTGGGTTTGGTTGTGGTTTTTTTTGGAGGGGGGGGTTGTTGTTTTTTCTGTAGTTGGCGAAGCTTCCAAAAATCAAAGCAAGCAACATCACCCACCACTCCATTTAATATCAGGTTTTCTACATATATCCATAATTACAACAGTGTGCACACAGCTATAGTATGCACAGACCCAGGGCTGTGCTCAGTAGTTCTGCAGCATCATATCTACCTCCCCACACAAATACTGTGAGAATGAGTCTGACGTTTGCCACTGTCTTCTTTCATTTGTCAATTAATTCTACTAAATGAAAGAAAAAGAAGTGGATATGCACTTAAACAACATATTCCTTCCAATTGCAGCCAAAATAACCTTCTGTGAAATATTTTCATCCTTCAGGACAGATGACCTGAATATTTAATACTTAGCCCTCTGCAATATTTCTGACAGTCTTTGGTATCAACCACGCCAAGTTTAAATTTAGGCCAGTAACAAAAAGGCAGCTTGATTCTCTATCCCAAAGCTGTCAGAATTAAACTAAGCACTGTGGTGCAGAAAGGCCTATTTTCACACCAAAAATACCAGTTTTCTTAATAAACTCTTTCTTTGCTTCATG